TACTAGGACTCCTAGATCCCTTTCACATGTACTGTTGTCAAGCCAGTTATCCTCCATCCAAGAAAAGACTGAGAGGTGACATGAAAGCTGTCTTTAAATATCTAAAAGGATGTCAGGTGGAAGATGGAGCCAGATTGTTTTCTGCTGCTCCAGAGACTCGAACCCAAACCAAAGGATTCAAATCACAGCCGAACCTCAACTTTTGGAGGTTTAACTTAACTTCTTTTGTGGATCTGACTAGTCATGGGTTTGCCATCAATAGGAATAGGATTTTATTTTTTTAGTTTTGCTGCCTACTGCAGAAAATCGCAGATGACATGCATAGATTAGAAAATGTAAAGACAATTTTTAAAAATTCCTTGCCCAGCTAGCCGTGTAGAAAAGTAGAGTATCATCCAAAATCCACAAAACAGTGATCCCTTTATTGGACCAACCAAAATGCACATTATACCTGTTGCAAGCTTTCAAAGCCCCACTGGCTTCTTCATCAGGCAAAGGTGTTCAAAATCACACAGGAGAAAGAAAGAAAGAAAGAAAGAAAGAAAGAAAGAAAGAAAGAATATTTTTTATTTTTTGTAGGATTTTTAACATTTTGTGCCTAATGAAGAAGCCAGTGGAGCTTTGCAAGCTTGCAACATGTATAATATGCATTTTGGTTGGCCCAGTAAAGATATCACTGTTTTGTGAATTTTGGATGATACTCTATTTAACCTCTAGAGAAAGGAATATAGATGGAGTCATTTATTTATTATTTCACTTATATCCCACCTTTCTCCCCAAATGGGATCCATTTAAGTAAAGGTTTGTGGGGCGTAGAGATAAAATTTGTGTTTTTTCCAATTCTGCAAAAGTCTTGCACGCCTAACCGCCATGAATTTGGAGGGCAGACTATACAAGAAAAGAGACTCCACCTAAACATTAGGAAGGGATTCTTTATTGTAAGAGATGTTTGATGCTAGAACGGACCGCTTTGGAAAGTGGTGGAGCCTCCTTCTTTGGAGGTTTTCAAACAAAGGCTGGATGGCCATCTTTTGGGAATGCTTGGATGGCGTCTTCTCTTATGCACAGCAGAATGAGGTCAGACTGGATGACCCTTGGGGATCCCTTCCAGCCTTGAGATTCTGTGATTCTATTTTGCAAAAGGGAGAAAGCAGGAAAGAGAGAAGGCAGGAAAAGAAAAGTCAACATAACTTGGCAGGCAGGCAAAACCACAGATACAAATTTACCTCCAAATGTGAGCCAGGCCCTCAACAATTTCCTGTGTTCTACTTAAAACTGGATAAAGAACCCTTTTAAAAAATTTTTTTTGCTGCACCAAAATTGATGTCAGAAACATTTCCTGCATTAAGGGGCTGGCTGTACGTAATCCTTTGCCGTGTTTTCATCCTGGCTCTGCTAGAGGTTCCTGAGCAGATCCCCGGCTTGTTTTGCATTGATGGTTATCACTGAGTTCATACTTATTCAAGTGTCGAAATGCATGCATGCGCTCCTTCCTTCCAGGATCCTTTGATTCTATGGGGCAAGTCCAAATTATTTATTTGGGGCACTTATAGTCCCCCCCCCCGCCAAAAGCAGGGGCACCTCCAGCTGCTTTTCTGCCTAGAATCTTCTTCCATTACTTGTTTATGTGTGTGGTGTGTGCATGAAATCTTGGGATTTGTAGTTTTACAGTGCAGAAAGAAACAGAAAAAGTATTTTTTTTCATGGATCCAATTATCTAATTATTTACACAAAGCATCCTTGAGCAAAGGAGGTTTAAAGTGACTCATGCTTCGGTCTCTCTGTAAGATGAACACTCCTGGGCAGAATATTCACCTGTAATTTGAAATATTCATTACAAATGCCTCCTCTGAGCTTTTTGCAGAAGGATCTTACTCTGGAAAAGTGGACAAATCTATTCAGCAATGGTGGCAGGAGTATTCAGGATGATTATAAGATGTTGTTTTATCTTAAAAGGTTTTATACAGTGTTATCTTTTTGGGGAAAAATGTATTTTATTTTTTAAATAGCTATCTATTTTAACATTGTAATAATGTAAGTTCCTTTTTAATGCACCTCTTGTCTATGTTTTTAATTGTACTGTTCTTTTAATATTGTGAAGCCGCTTTGAGTCCCAGTTCTGGGAAAAGAGAGGGATACTACTACTACTGCTACTACATGCTTTGATTGGGAATTCCTGCATGGCAGGGGGGTTGGACTGGATGGCCCTTGTGGTCTCTTCCAACTCTATGATTCTATGATACTACTACTACTACTATAACTGATCAATCATTGGATGGCTGTTCAAAATACTGTGCAAATAGGCTCAAGGGAGTGAAATCCGAGATGCAATTGTACTGTAGAAATAGTGCACTTTGACACCACTTTAAGTTCTGTTGCTGCATCCTATGGAATCCTGGGATTTGTAGTTTCACAAGATGTTTAGCAGTTGCCAAAGCGTGCTGCTGCTTCACCAAACTACAAATCCCAGGATTTTGCAGGATGGAGCTGTGGTAGTTAAAGTGGTGTCGAACTGCATTATTTCTACAGTGTAGCTGCACCCTTAGTTAAATCCCCATTGGATTACTGCAATGCGCTCTATGGACTTTATCACACAGGGAGAATCTATAGTTTATCCCGTACAAATCCCAAAAAACCCACGTAATTATGCGCAACGATTTCACATGACGTTGCACAAAACCCGTCATTAAAGTGGTCAGGAAGTGGTGTTATCCCAGATCTTTTTACTTTGACGTACTAACTATGCATCCCTCTGCACATGTGCGAACATACCGTTTCTACTTCATATATGGAATTTGTTCACTTTTGTATGAAACACAAAAGCAGGTTTCCCCCCGCTTTTTGCATTATTACACATTTATTCTTATTGCATTTGGTCTTCATTTGCGCAATTAAAAACTATTTTCGCTTTATTTTCGGGATGGTTTATTTGTGCTTTATTATCTCTTTCAAGATGGAACTGCCCCCCTTGTGATAAAATCCTTTGAAGAGTGTTTGGAAACTTGAATTGGTCCAAGGACCTGCAGTTAAAGTGGTGCCAAACTGCATCATTTCTCCAGTGTAGATGCACCTCCAGCTTCAGGAAAAGAGTGGTTGGTAACTTGCTCCTGGTTAATTCCACATCATAGATGGGGGCTGAGAGATTTGGGTTGGTTTAAGGACCCTCCAAGAGATTGCAGTTCATGCCCCGACTCTTTCACTAGTAGTAACTCTGGGGACCATTCACACTTCACAGTTATAGTGCTATGATTCCTCTTTAACTGCCACAGTTGCATCCTATGGCATTCCTGCGGCTTGTAGTTAAAGAAGCCCAAGAGCTCTCTGGCTGGCATTTTGAATGTCTCTCTCCAAATTTATAGCATTATAATCCCAATCCCAAGAGACCCCCGGCTGGAAACATGGCAGAGTGGGATTATAATGCTCTAATTCTGTAGTGCGGATGGGCTTCTTGCTCTCTTGGGAAAAGCTGGGCTATGGGGGAACAGCTTCTGGTGTAAAAAAGCAGCTGCGGGTTTCAAATACATATACAACGGAGCTTAGAAAAACTACTTTCTTTGGACTGCTGGCAGGGATGCTGGGGGTTATAATCCCTAAATATTACTATTTTAATAGTAGTAATATTTAATTATTATTATTATTATTATTATTATTATTATTATTATTATTATTTAACTTTTGCAATCAGCGTTTCATTTCTACCTTTTTAAATTATTGGTAAGCTGCCTTGAATCCCATTTTCATGGAATCCATGAAATAAATAAATAATACATAAATAAAGTAGGTTTCCAAACTCTGCCCAGAAGCAATTCTTGGCTTTTTGACTTCTGTTCCAAGCATGCCTTGAAATAAATATTAGCTGGCATCCTGTTAGTGACTAGTACTACCGCCACTTGTTGTTGTTAAAATATTTGCTGTTGCATGCCTTCAAGTCATTTCCAACTTATGAAGACCCTAAAGTGAACCTATCATGGGGTTTTCTTGGCAAGATTTGTTCAGAGGGGGTTTGCCACTGCCATCCTCTGAGGCTGAGAGAGTGTGACTTGCTAAAGGTCACCCAGTTGGTTTACATGACCGAGCTGGGATTCGAACCCTGGTTTCCAGAGTTGGTCAACATCAAACCACCACGCCATGCTGGCTCTCATTTATTCATACCACCCCTCCTTTATATAAATGATCTCAGGGCAGCTTACAAAAAGCATTAAAGTAAATTACAAAG